CAATCTTTGGCAACTCTTATATAGTGAGTAGATTAGATAACTCCTAATTCTAATAGAATTGTAAATTTTCTATTTTTAGATAACTCGTAAGAATATTTCATTTTCCTAATATCTTGATGACTAAGTTATCTTCAAGCTTATTCCAACATTCTCCCCTTTAAGCTTGAAGCCATTCTTAGATACATCTTAAACTCCTATGAAATCTCTCATTTCTTTGAACTTGATTTTTCCAAGAAAATTTTGTCAAAATGTCAGCTTTCTGCTTGGTTCCGGGAACATGTTCGACTTCAATCTGTCCGTTCTCAACACATTCTCTGATGAAGTGAAATCTTCTGTGCATATGATTGCTGCGTCCATGGAAAACCGGGTTTTTAGTGAGAGCTATAGCAGATTGGTTGTCAATGTGTGACTACCCTTTCACTTGATGACCCAGTGACTTCACACAACAGATCTTGCAACCAGATCGCCTGTCTTGCCGCTTCAGTTCCTGCCATAAACTCGGCCTCACAAGAAGACAATGCTACTATCTCTTGTTTCTGCGAGGTAAAAGATCTGTCCGGAGGTACTCTTCTATCATCGGGATCCATGTTATGACTACTATCACTATAGCCAAGTAACTTCGGTACCTTCAAACCTGGATGCTTGAAAACAAGACCTAATGAAGTAGTACCTTGTAAGTACCGCAAACATTGTTTCATCGTAGCCCCATGAGATGCTCTCGGACTTTGCATGTATCAACTCAATACTCCTACGCAGTATGAGAGATCTGGCCTGGTGTGAAGCAGATATCTGAGGCAGCCAACATTCTTCCGATACCCTGTTGCATCAATCTCCTTTTCATCTTCTGTCTTTGACAACTTTAGTCCGACCTCCATTGGTGTTTGAGTCAGATTACAGTTTGCCATTCTAGCTTCCTCCAAGATTTTTAAAGCATAGCGAATTTGACACAAGTATATTCCTTCTTCATGTTGTCATACCTCTATTCCAAGATAGTATGTTAACTTCCCTATATCACTCATGTTGAAATTTGATGACATCTCCCCTTTGAACTTGTTAATGACTTCTCTGTTTGAACCTGTGATGAACAAGTCATCGACATATACCACCACTATTAAAAGACTTCCACTAAGCTCCTTTCGATAAACAGATGGTTCCTTCGAGCATTTAGCAAACTTTAAACTCACAAGGATGTCGTTTAATTTGTTGTTCCATGCTCTGGGCGCCTGTCTTAAACCATACAAGGCCTTATGTAGTTTGTAAACTTTGGCTTCTTCTCCTTTCTTCTCGTAGCCCTCTGGTTGTGTTACATACACTTTTTCCTTCAAATCTCCATGGAGGAAAGCTGTCTTAACATCTAAATGATGTATTTCCCACCTGTTTGATGCTGCAATGAGTAGCTGTATGCTTTCCAATCGTGCTATTGGCACGAAAACTTCGTCAAAATCAACTCCATAGCATTGTACATAACCCTTCGCGACTAAACGAGCTTTGTATTTATTAATACTCTCATCTAAATTCCTTTTGAGTTTGAATACCCATTTTAGTCCTATTGGTTTTGTTCCAACCGGAAGATCGACGAGAGTCCAATTTCCATTCTTCTTGATCGAATGAAGTTCAGCCTCACACGCGTTTCTCCATTCTCTCAAACTCTTGGCTTCTTCAAAACTTGCAGGTTCGTCATTTAGACACATCCACAATTTTTCACCTTCTTCTTCCGCTAGTAAAACATAATTCTCCACCAGATACTTAGGTTTTACTGACGACCTTGTTGATCTTCGCAGGACTGGTGGTGTTTGAGTATCGTCGTTTTGCGCTTCTGCTTCTCCGTCGTATGGAGATATATTGCCATTGACTCCAACTATATCTCCAGGTGAACCGGTTTCTTCCCCTGTTTCGACCTCTTGCTCTGTTTCGGGTTCGATATCTGATCTTTGGATGCCACGATTTCCAAATTCTTGTAAGACGACCTTGAAACCTCCATCTTGTCTATCTTCAGGGTTAGAAGAAATCCAATTCCATCCGTTTGCCTCATCGAACACCACATACTTGCTTACTACTATTCTCCAAGCTTGTGGATCAAGCAACCGATAAGCCTTCAATCCAGGCTCAGTTCCGAGATGCACGAGTACACGAGCTCTATCGTCCAACTTCTTAAGCGATGGTTTCTCCACTTTCGCATATGTGATGCACCCAAAGATCTTGAGATGGCTTATGTTTGGCCTCTTGTTCCGGTAGAGCTTGTATGGTGTTTTGTCTTTAAGCGCTCATGTAGCTACTCGGTTTAAGAGGTATGTACTGTGTCTAATAGCTTCTCCCCATAGATAGTTCGGTACTCGCATGTCCTTCATAATGCTCCTTGCCATTTCTAACAAAGTCATGTTTCTTCTCTCAACAAAGCCGTTTTGTTGAGGAGTGTATGGTGCAATGAGGTGTCTCCTTATCCCTGATGCATCACAAAATTCATTAAACTTGCTGTTGACGAATTCTCCTCCCCTGTCTGTTCGAAAGGTCTGGATTCTTTCTCCTGCTTCTGCTTCGACTAGGCCTTTGAACTTTCTGAATTTTGTAAATGCATTGCTTTTCTCTTTAAGAAAAATTGTTCACATGTATCTGGTGCAGTCGTCGATGAGCACAAATATGTACTTGTTCCCAGCTAAAGTACTCGGTGTTATAGGGCCACAAAGGTCTGTGGAGAGAAACGTCTGTCATGGCTCTATATTCCCCGATCAAATTGACACTCTCTTGTCTTTGTTACATTTTTTCTCTCTCACAGTTTTATCCTTTTTTTGCTTGTAATCGGCGGGACTTCTCACAATTTTATCATTCAATTTGATACCATAGTTTTTTGTGATTTAAATGTAAACAATTACAAAACTTGAATGCTTAAGGGAGAACATAAATAAGGTATATGTATATATATACCTTATTTAAAGTTTAAGAGATCAAAATATGATCAGATGTATAGGAGCTTTCATTGACTCAAAAGTAATAGATAACACTTTTTTTTTAATGATTCACAAGGAAATAACATTGTATGGGTCGAGGAAAGCTTCATGTAGAATCAACATAAGTTCCTTCTTCAACTCCAACGACAGTTTTTTTTACTCCAACGACATTACGATCAAGTTAACTCAAATAGATATTAGGTTAAATGGATAGAAAAAAGGAAGAATAATCTTGTTACATTTGAATCCAAGATAGAAAGATATCGAATAGGGCAGGGCCGGCCCAAAGTGATTTGACGCCTAAAGCGTACCGTAAAAATGATGCTCTTAATCGAAAAAAAATAAAATTTGCAGCATATTCTTTAAATATATAATTAAAATAATATAAAATATCATTGAAACATAATTTGTTTTGAAAAGAATGAAGTACAGAAAAAATAATACATTACTTATGATTTCTTAAAGATAACCCTCCTTGTTTTTTTCCCGCATAATCATCTGCTAGCTTCGAATAATCGAGTTTCTCAGTTAACTCATGTTCAATTCATATCATCGACAATCCATTCAGTCGCTCCTGAGACATAGTCGAGCGTAGATAATTCTTTATGAGCTTCAACTTTGAAAAACTTTTTTCTGCACAAGCAACTGAAATCGGAATCGTCAGTAATATGCGATAAGCGATCCATGCGTTTGCATAACAACCAGGCGTATTGCTGCTTAAAAAATCTAAAATCTCGACGGCCTTTGTCATATTTTTTGGCAACATTCTTCTTAGATATCGTAGTTCCATAAATAGATCTTTTCCATCTATATAAAACCCTATCATGCTCCAGAGCAGTTTCAAGCTTGATACAAGATGCCGTGAACTCATCATCTTTTGCTGACTTTAGTTTTTTCAAACCAAATAGAAAACCAAAGATTTCCTCATACTGTTGAAATTGCTCAAATCTAACCTCAAGAGACACTATAGCTTGATCCAATATGTTGATGAAATAATCAATTCTAAAACGCTCCTCCGCATTTGACAGATTACTTTCTACCACATGCTCAGCATCTTCACCATATTGCTTCTTCTTTTTTATCACTTGTTTTGGTTTTGTAGAAAATATTGGGTCAATCTCCATATCACGGCCAATTTGCACAGCTTCAACTTTTGCTTTCTCAAAACCTGTTTTTCTATAATCTTTCAAATAATCAACAAGCCCTCCTAACTGAGAAATAGCAGCATCAAGATCCATATCCTCTGACTGCAAATTTTTGCTCACTATATTGACAGCATAGAGCAAATCATACCAGATCACCATTCCAAACAAGAATTCAAACCCTTCAATTCCATGTATTTTACTTACTGCAAGAGATTCAGCATCACTACGATGTCCTGGATTATCACTGTGTTCTGCTATGTAAAACAAAGCATCTCGTATTTTTGAAGTTTGGAATCTTATTGGTTTAACACTATCAATACGACTTTCCCAACGAGTTTGTGATAATGGTTTAAGTGTAATACCGTTCACCATTTCTCTGTAGACTTCCCAATTGTTGGATGAAGATGCAAATAGGCAATATAGACGCTGCACAATGCCAAAAAAGGAAACAGCCTTCTCAGACGAAGAAGCCATATCAAAAAGAGCAAGGTTGAGACTATGACAACTACATGGAGTATAAAATGCCTGTGGGTTTATATCAAGCAATCTTTTCTGAACTCCTTTATGTCTCCCTTTCATGTTTTTCCCATTGTCATAACCTTGTCCTCTTATATCTTTTATATTCAACTTAAGATCAGTCAATGCATCTTGAAGAGTGTTAAAAATTCCTTCTCCTCTCTTGTCTTTGATTTCCAAAAAAAGACAAAAAGAACTCCTCAACTGTCGGTGAATCCGTAGAAATATCAACACATCGAATTAAAAAGGTCATTTGCTCTTTACGACTAACATCAGGAGTAGAATCCAAAATGATTGAAAAATGCTTCGCCTTTTGAATCTTCTCTAAAATTGCCATCTTAATCTCATTACCAAGCAATTTTATCAACTCATTTTGAATCTTATGACTGAGATAATGGCACTGCATTTCACGTTGTTCAAACCGTCGAAGGTGTTCCTTCATTACTTCATCAAAGCTTCCGATCATCCTAATAAAAGCATTAAATTTTCTACTATTCGGATCACGAATCTTTTCGTTTCCTCCACAAAATGCAATATTTCTTTCTGAAGAGTCTTTACCAATGCAATTATTCTGAACATCACATCTCTTTAGTGCGTTCTCTCCTTGTTAATTGCCTCCTGCAGATGCTTATCAATAGTTTCCTTCTTTTTCAGCCTTATTTCCAACTCAGTCCACTGAGACATAGAAACAATATGATTATGTGAAGTTTCATGTGTTTTCAGCCTGGTTGAAGAATTTCTCCAGTCATTAAACCCAGCAGTTACCAAAACAGGAGGATTTGTGTCTTGAGTGAATAGTTTACAACAAAAGAAAAAGATATTCTTTTTACTTTTTGAGTAAACTAACCATCTTCTATCTTGTTTTTCTCTATTGCTCATTTTTCTTGTATAACAAGAATAAGTGAAACATCTATCGGCAGAATCTTTTGGAAAAGGATAATCCATCGGTGGTTTTGAGGGTGGACCTCTTCCAACCAAAAAATCCATCGTTGGTCGATATGGGATAAGTCTATTTACACACTTATAAAAAAAATTTGAACTTTTTTGGTTGCCCCAAAAATTAATGTCTTTTAGACCGCCTTGAAGCCATTGCTTCACAGGTCTTAGCTGTGGGCCAGCCCTAAAATAGGGTATGATCCAAGAGAAACTATGAAATAGAATGGAGAGCCTGGTTTCCAACATCACTCGAGAGTAGATAAAGAACAGGACAAGATTTGTCCATGTTGAGTATTCTATACCTCAAAGGCGTCGACTTTCCTTAGAGAAAACTGAACAAACCCGAGATCAGAAGTGCATTTGACCGAGTAACCAAGAATGAGAAAGAGAAAACAGATAGAATCCAAGAACAGAGGAAATAAATAACGAAAACTGAGACAAGAAAAACAGAGCATACACTAGTTTAACGAGTTCACGCCCGTTAATGAGGGTCGCTACGTCTTGCTGAGACTTTACTCGGAATCCACTAAAACCAGAGTATTGATTATAACAGGACGCCACAAGTGACCCGTCTAATAGGCTAATACCTCTCACTAGTACTTAGACTCACTCTATACCACTCTCTGTGATAGAGAAAACTTAGAACAGTTTATGGTTTCTATGGTTTTCTCACTTCTTACAATTACTCGGGTGTAAAACACTTACAATCTCTCACACTCTCGCTCATTACAGTAAGTACCCAATTTATAGTAACAACAAATAGAACTTCATGTGTAAACGCTAAACGCCAAAAGGTGCAGCTCCAATACGCCAAAGATGTGATCTTGAAACAGCGAATGAAACCAGCCAAACGAGGCTTTCTTTTTGTAGTACAAGCAGACAAAATGTCCTTAAGGCTGAAATGAGCTGTTGCTCCTTTGTTTTATGCAACTCTCAGTTCCCCTAGCAGTGTGGTTCCAAAGAGTAACTCGACCTTAATTTAGTTTACACCAACCTTGGTTTATCAAGTCTTCTTTGCCATTTGAAAAGTGTATGCTCGCCAAGTTATCACTTCACAGTCCATTAACTTGGCAAGTAAAAGACCGTCTTCGCTTGATTATAGTTTAGCAAATGCAGAATATATAGTTTAAGATATGACGTAAAGAGGAACTTAGAATTTAAAAATATCAGAAGAGACGTCATAAAGGAAAAGGAGAAAACAAGGAACAGAAAAAAAAAATGAAATAGGAAAACCAAAGAATTATAACTTTAACAAAATTAATGATTTTTTTTTTGTTTGGTCTATATAATTAGGGTTAAGCACGGGAGCAATCTTAAAATATACTAAAACCCTAAACATTAAGCCAAAGCCACCGGCAATTTCTTTCCTTGGGAGATCACTATAGTCAACGATCATGTCAGACCTTCCAGAGGATTTGTTAGAGGAGATACTCTGTCGCGTACCGGCCATACCTCTGAAACGGTTACGATCTACATGCAAAAGATGGAACCGTTTATTCAACGATAAGAGATTCACAAGAAAGCACATTGATACAGCCGCAAAACAGTCTCTGATTCTCCTGAAGATTGAAAAGAAACTTCGGATTTTTTCCCTGACCGTCGATCACAAAAGAAGTCCATCTATAGATGTCAAAGGTGAGCTTAGTCTAATCGACCCTCGTTCTAGTTTAGATCAATTCCAGATTTCTAAAGTCTCTCACTGCGATGGCTTATTGTTATGCACCAACAAAGACAACACTAGACTCGTGGTTTGGAACCCCTGTACTGGCCAAACCAGGTGGATCCAACCTCTAATTCATCACAGATCAAGCGACACCTTGACTCTTGGATCCTACCAAGACAAGAAATCCGGCAATAAGAGCTACAAAATACTTAGATACAATAAATTTAGTCCAGAGCAAAGATTCGAAATCTATGAAATTAACTCTGGTTCATGGAGGATTGTTAAGGTCACTCCTAATTGCCGAATACTGTATACTGGTCCCAGGGTGTCTTTGAAGGGAAAGGCTTATTGGTTTGGTTGGGATATAAAAGAGAATTATCAGTACGACTTCTTCTTAGTGTGTTTTGATTTTACAACAGAGAGATTTGGACGTATGCGGCTTCCCTATCAACATTCTTATCAGACTATGTCTCTATCAGTTGTTAGAGAAGAAAAACTTTCGATGCTATTACAACGCACAAATACACAATGGAGAGAGATATGGGTAACAAATAAGATTGGTTATCAGACTATGTCTCTATCAGTTGTTAGAGAAGAAAAACTTTCGGTGCTATTACAACGCACAAATACACAATGGAGAGAGATATGGGTAACAAATAAGATTGGTGAATGGACCAGGGTTCTAACAATATTGGATTCCCCTCCATTTTATAGGTGCGGTACCATAAGTTTTTTGGTCGACGAGGAGAAGAAAGTCGTCGTGTGTTGTGAGAAGAAGGTCGTGGTATACATTGCTGGGGAGGATAATAAAGTCACACAAGTGGATTTTGGAGAAGCTGCTACGTTGGGAAAATATGATCCAGTTATTCATAGTTATGTTCCAAGTTTGGTTCAAATTCAGTGAATTAAGTTGAGAAAAAATGAGAAAGAGGTTATTAAAAATAAGCTAAAGGAGACTTTATATATATATATATATATATGTATTGTGTTTTTGAATTGGCCATGTCTTTCAACAATCTTTTTTGAAGAATTAATAATTTTATATCGGATGTTTCAAAGTACACACTATATTCTTGGGTTAACGAAGTTTTTAAATTTTTATGATCAAATCACGTTTCCTTACATATATAGACCACTGTTGTACAGAGAGGAGATGTCAAGCATTTGCAAGTGTTATAACAGACCTAATTATCCGATTTTCGATTGTGCATTTGAAAGTGTTATCACTCCTAAATATCATATAGTCCATTAGATACCCATCAGGGTCAATTTGTTGCAAAGAAAACCTTAGGGGTAACAAGACAAAAAATCTTCAAAAAAACCAGACGGAACTCCTGGAAACTGAAGTTTGTTTGGTCTTTTAGTTTTCAATATCTGAAACCCCTTAATGAGAGATTTGGTTTCTTACTTCAGTGCTCAAGGTGGAACACATAGTCTGTTAAACGTTGCAGCTTCGATGAATCCACCTTTTGCTCTCTAACAGCTTGCTTCTTAACAGTCACCATTTGAGAAGTTGCATCCACTATCCATACATTCTCTACAACATCTGTGTAATACATACATCTAGCAAAAAAAAATAGCAATTAGACAATCAAAAAGTTAGGACATCATTGCCTCCAAAATACTAAGCTAAGACATCGCTGCACTGCAATGCAAAGGTAACTATGATACCACTGCGCCAAATTCTTTTCCTTGAAATGTTATAATCACACAAAAAAATAAACCTTGAGTCGCGAAGTCAACAGCACCGACAACAATCCCAGAGAAGGCGACTTACATATCGGCCTAAAGAGTATTGATTGAAAGCTTTTGTGGGTATAAAAACTCGGCCTAAAGAGTATTTGATTGGACTCGTTGATAAGGCGGATTACGGTGGAGTCTACGCAGGAATCATCGATGAGGAAGAGGTCACTCCTGTTTGCTGCTGAGCTGAAGGAATTGTAGAGGAAATCAATGGCGGATGAGGAAGGGAGGAGAAGAGCAACCATGAGGATAAGGAGGAGAGGAGCTGACCACTGTCGCCGCCGCCATTGCCACCACAATTGTTCCAGTGAGAAAAGAGATGTCCCTATTTGAGGAAAGGGAAAGCGAAGATCGTCGATGTTATTCTTTTTCTCTACCAAAATTTGTTGCAAAGATCTGCAACAAAACACCAACACAGAAACAGCGTTGGGTGATGATGGAATACAAAAGTTAACCAATGTGAATAAGCAATTAAGGGTCAGGTGTTGAACAATGGATGTCTTCAAATGCTACGAAAAGCTCTTCTGCTTTTAACAAGTATGTGGGGAAAGGTACTGCTTTGCACAATATCTCAATGTTTTAACATATAATTTTGATAATTCCGTTTAACTGCTTTTGTTCCAACTGTGCTAGTTTACCTTTCTACCAGTTCCATCATAGAAACAGCTACGTTTTTTTACTCAAAAAGTGATAAGACACATGCACTGATATATGGAATTTATTTCAAATTCATGTTCAGAATGTTCGATGGTGAAATGAATAACACAAATCCTAAAGTAAGGTCTTGATAAGCTTGATCGTTGCTATATCAGGAAGGAGTGGAGTTGGAGGCAAAAGATATATAGCTGGATCAGGTGTGGAGTGAAGACTCTGGCTGTTATTTCTGGTTGTTGCTTAAATACAGCAGAAAGACTATTCATTTTATCTTTTATCTTGGAATTTTGAATTAGAGAGATTGAGTCGTTAGACTTGAGGCGATACTCAGTTCTTGAGGATTCGTGAGTGAGAGATGATTTGGATACTCAATTTGTGAGTGATTCAGATATCTCTTGAGGATTTCTCTATTTCATCTTGTACTTTCCTTGATTACATCAATATACACAGTTTACAGAAGAGAGATAGTTAAGATTGTGAATTAGTGAGCTGAGAGGATTCAATCTTAACAGGTCTCCAAGAAAACATGCTAGCACAGCTATATGGGTCTCAATATGCAGCTCAAAGCTAGAAGAAAGGAAAAAAAAAAACCACCACCAACTTTAAATGCTTTAATATATACTCCAGCTGCGTCAGCTGTCAGCAAGCTTAGTTCAGGAAACCATTTCATAGTAGCTAATGGTATGTAACACAGAAAGAGTTACCTGAGAATGCAGCTGGAGTATATATTAAATGTCTATTTAGGATACGTTTTAATCGAGGGTAAACACAAAGTAGTGTGCATGCCGTTTGCTAAAGTTTCTGATGCGTGCCGGTTTTAACATTCGGATCAGCTCAAGAATCATGGAGAACGATCAAGACCAGCCAAAGACATCGTCCAAAAAATCAACGTTGGCAATGCATCAACGGTGTTCTATATTATGTAGCCTCAGTTGATGATGATTCGGATATTAGTGGCATATTTGTAATGACGTTTTGATATCAGAATTGAAAAGTTTGATATGATAAACTTACCATCGGATTATTTTAGGGTATGTTGATACCTTATCAGGTAAAGATAGCTTGTGTCACCTTAGCTGACAATGGTATTACATTGTAGGTTTTGGAGGATGCAGAAAAACATAGTGGTTTCCTAAACTATTACTTACACCTTTTGCTCGGAGTTTGAATAAATTTTACAGAGTTAATGGTATCACTGAACAGTGATGCGGGTGAGTTTATTTGGGTTCCATGCACGTTTCTTAGATCGTTTTTAATATTATATTTTGATCCGGTGAGAAACAGCTTGAGAAGAGCCGAGTTTAAAGGAAACGCGAATGACACATTTCGGTTCAGTAATGGACTTAGAAAATAACGTCTTAGAGAGAAACGTCTGTCATGTCATTTTTTTTTACCCGATCACATCGACACTCTCGTCTTTGTAACATTTTTTTTTGTCACAGTTTTATCCTTTTTTTGCTTGTAATCAGCGGGACTTCTCACAAATTTATCATTCCAAATTTTGATACCAAAGTTCTTTGTGATTTAAGTAAACAATTACAAAACTTGAATGCTTAAGGGAGAACTATGCTGCATATGTATATACCTTATTTAAAGTTTAAGAGATCAAAATATGATCAGATGTATAGGAGCTTTCATTGACTCAAAAGTAACATATAACACTTTTTTTTGATGATTCACAAGGAAATAACATTGTATGGGTCCAGGAAAGCTTCATGTAGAATCAACACAAGTTCCTTCTTCAACTCCAACGACATTACGATCAAGTTAACTCAAATAGGTGAAATAGATAGAAAAAAAAGGAAGTATAATCTTGTTACATTTGAATCCAAGATACAAAGATATCAAATAGGGTATGATCCAAGAGAACCTATGAAATAGAATGGAGAGCCTGGTTTCCAACATCACTCGAGAGTAGATAAAGAACAGGACAAGATTTGTCCATGTTGAGTATTCTATACCTCAAAGGCGTCCACTTTCCTTGGGAAAAAACTGAACAAACCCAAGATCAGAAGTGCGTTTGACCGAGTAACCAAGAATGAGAAAGAGAAAACAGAGAGAATCCAAGAACAGAGGAAATAAATAACGAAAACCGAGACAAGAAAAACAGAGCACACACCAGTTTAACGAGTTCACGCCCGTTAATGAGGGTCGCTACGTCTTGCTGAGACTTTGCTCGGAATCCACTAGAACCAGAGTATTGATTACAACAGGAAGCCACAAGTGACCCGTCTAATAGGCTAATACCTCTCACTAGTACTTAGACTCACTTTGTACCACTCTCTGTCCTAGAGAAAACTTAGAACAGTTTATGCTTTCTATGGTTTTCTCACTTCCCACAATCACTCTGTTCTAATTCTAAAACACTTACAATCTGTCACACTCTCGCTCGCACCCAATTTCTAGTAACAACGACTAGAACTTCATGTGTAAACGCTAAACGCCAAAAGGTGCAGCTCCAATATGCCAAAGATGTGATCTCAGCGAATGAAACCAGCCAAACGAGGCTTTCTTTTTTTAGTACAAGCAGACAAAATGCCCTTAAGGCTGAAATGAGCCGTTGCTCCTTTGTTTTATGCAAGTCTCAGTTCCCCTGACACTGTGGTCCCAAAAAGTAACTCGACCTTAATTTAGTTTACACCAACCTTGGTTAGTCTTTATCAAGTCTTCTTTGCCATTTGAAAAGTGCTTGCTCGCCAAGTTATCACTTCACAGTCCATTAACTTGGCAAGTAAAAGACCGTCTTCGTTTGTTTATACTTCAGCAAATGCAGAATATATAGTTTAAGATATGACGTAAAGAGGAACTTAGAATTTGAAAATATCAGAAGAGACGTCACAAAGGAAAAGGAGAAAAAAAGGAACAGAAAAAAACAATGAAATAGGAAAAAGACTCTTTGCCTTCGTTTTTTTTTGACATCGAGACTCTTTATCTTCCTCTGTTCTTAATCTTACGAGTCACTATTCACAGACTTATCTTGTTTTGTTGTTTTTTTTTTTCAAAAAATCAAACTAAGTATTTTATAAATGTTAAGACTCATATGTGATATTTTTCATATCCTATGTTCTGGGTACTATTTCTTATAAAATTATTGACATATCTATGTCGTACTCGTATCCATAAATTTTTATTTTGCCGTTTCCCATCTCCATTCCCGTTCCCGTCCCCGTTTCTTGTATTCGTACCCGTCTCAGTACAACTTAGGATATTAAGATATGAGTAAAGAGGAACTTAGAATTTGAAAATATCAGAGAAGAGACGTCACAAAGGAAAAGGAGAAAAAAAGGAATAGAAAAAAAATGAATAGGAAAAAATAAAGAATTATAACTTCAACAAAATAAATGATTTTTTTTTTGGATTCGTCTATGTATTTAGGGTTAAGCATGGGAGAAAACTTAAATAAAATTACTAAAACCCTAAACAACAAGCCAAAGCCAACAGCACTTTCTTTCCTTGGGAGATCACTATAGTCTACAATCATGTCAGACCTTCCAGAGGATTTGTTAG